TTATTAGTGATGTTAATGGTCCTATTCTCCTCAGAGCTCAAATAAAATCCTAAGCAAAAATCTGTTTCTATCTGTAACAGTCATTTAGTTGTAAACTACATCACAGGTGTATTGTTTTCCCAAAGCCAATTCAATGGAATTTCAAGGTTGAAGAGTAGATGCAGGTTATTTCTGTTGATGGTAAAAACATTGCCTGCACAAAACCCGTTCAGAACATGACCGTCATGCTCAAGCAGTGATTAACTACACACTTTTTTAATGCTACTGCAAAGCTAAAAGTGTTACAATCACAATGACTGAACCATCTAATAAGCTCCACCTTTTTACTCATAAACGTGAACAAGCTTTACAAAGCCAAGTGAGTGGAAGTCACATTATGGCAAAGTTCGTCATATTCTTTGTTCATCCATGAGGAGATGGTTTGGTTAGGCATAACTAGGCAAGCACTGACTGTGGTCAGAAACGTGATGTTTTCCTTTCTTCTCTAAACTACAGGGTTTGTTGTCCAACGGTGGTTGAGACAGTTCCAGGAACAGTTTGGATTTCAGGAAGCGCCTGTACGAGTCCTTTTCCATGAGGGTGAAGATTTTGCTCTGAGCCTCCTCAAAACAGGATGAGTCGCATCTTTCCAGATTCTTTCTAGTGAGTTCTCTAGTGGCCGAATCCAAATTCACCTAAAAAAAATAATAATAATGGAGATTTATGAGTACATTTTAGATGTGATAAGGTAATAGATATACTCCAGTCAAGCAGCGCTCTCACCTCGCTAGGGGAATCGGCTTCAACGTATCGCTCAAATATCTTTCTAGCTTTCACATTCATCTTGTCCACTGATGTCTGCGTGAAATCCTCACAGGCTTCCCAGAATTCAATGTTCTCTTGACTGTACTCAGACTGTAAAAAGGAAGTGAAAGCCTTCCGACCATCTGAAAGGAAACAATTTCAGTGAGACTCAATATACTGAAAAAATTATAAATTGCATTATATATTCAATAATATAATATAATATAATATAATATAATATAATATAATATAATATAATATAATAATGTCCGATTTACTATCAGAAACAGCGTCATTTTAGTATCATCGAGATACTACTATAGTTTTTGAATTTAATTTTTATATATTCTGCTTTCAATGTTAATGTTAATTTTAGTTCAAGTTTTAGTTATTTTGTTTTGTGTTTTTGTCATTTATATTAGGGTGTATTCACACCAGGAAAGTCTGCTAGTTCACTTGCTTTGGTCCGGACCAAATACAATGTAGATTTCTTTGGTTTGGTGCAGTTCGCTTTCACACTGCCCTTTTTGCAAGTGAACCAGAAACTGTAAACAAAACCACACGTGTGCTTAAGGTCATCCATTCATTTGTTCATCCATTCAACTGTACCAGCGTTTGTTTGGAAGCGGACCGAGACCACCTCTTCAGCTGGGTCTCGGTGCGGTTGTTTGGTCCGCACCCGAGTGCGATTGCTGTATTCACACCTGTCCAAAAGATCCGCACCAAGGGGGGAAACGAACTTGAGTTCGATTCAATCGAACCAAACAAGACAGGTGTGAATACACCCTTAGTTTTTGTTTTGTTGTTGTCTATTTATTTGTTTATTTCTGTTTCATTTTTAATTATTTTAGTGCATCAAGTTAAACTAAATGAATATGAGAAATAGAAATTAGCTGAAATAAAATAAGTTTAAGTTTGTAATATTTAATTTCAGTTAACATTTATTGCGATTTTTTATTACATTTTTTTAGTTTTTGGTGACTATAATAACCCTGGTCTGAAGACATTCAAATCTCCATTTGAACTCATTATTACTAGGGAGCGGATGCTGAGGAGATTTTGGAATGAAGAGGCCAGGACTTTGAGTCTGGCAGGATTCTCTAAAGACTGTCCTAGTGGTTGATGACCCCTGTAGCCCACCAGAGCAGAACACTCAAAGCTCTTCAGGGGCCACCAGTGCAATCTGCGGACGCGTAGCACACACTCTGTGGCGTGAGAAAAATATGGTCTTGGCCTATCAGACTGACAGAAACATAGTCTCCTTACAGAGACGTTAATGAGGCCAAGGGCTCTTTGACAGCAAATACAAGGCCGAATAAACAAGGGTCAGTGCAGAAGTCTCAGGCTTTCTCATTAAATCATTACTATGCTGCAGCCTGCTCATCATTAACACATGCTGGTTTCTAAGATTTGATCAGGATGGTTGATTTTTTTTTTTTTATTGCATAACTAAATAATCTTGACATTTACCTTCATTTTTGATCAGGTTGTTAAATGATGTTTTCCATTTCTCAATTTCAGCAAGAGGGACTCTAGAATCAGAAGAAAGAATTAATAAACAAAATATATAAATGCTACTGTAAATGTAAATAATATGAGATTAGCTTCAATAATGTTTAAATACTGTATTATCAAAATATGAAATATCTATAATATAAACATTTTTATTAACATACATTATAAAATATTATTAAGTATAATATAATTGATGTGATATGATATGATATGATATGATATGATATGATATGATATGATATGATAAAGTAAGCTTTGTTGGTCCAACCTTACCTGTTTACCACAGTGACCTTCTCTTTCTCCTTCTCTTTCTTCTTCTCCTTCTCCTTCAGAGACTTCTGCTCTTGAGGTGGATCTGGCTTTTGAAGCAGGAAGCCAATCTTATGCTTTATGTCTTTGGCGCTGTCGGAGAAAACATATAATTAATTAATCTTTTGGCTTTAGAGAATCAGTTGTGTAAACAATTATGAAAAACAAAAGCTGGTTTAGAGGAACTTATATTTTCTGTTAAATAGCTCTCAAACGAAATATATCACAGGCATAAAAAAACACCTTTTTCCATTACTCAAAGCAAATTGTAATATCTTGATACCCAAACAACTGCTTTGCTTTGCTTTGCTCTTAGTCTACTTCAGAGTATACGGAGTATGAAAACATATATCATCTTGAACGTTGAACTAAAAATAAGAATATCACCAATAATTTCCAATAAGGTAGTTCATACCTTTTCAAGCATGTTGCTGGGAGGGCAGCGAGACCTTTACACATGGTGCTGGTGCGTAATACAAATCCAACACTATAGAAAAGAGTCTTGAGTGTCACAATGCAGGTCCTCACAATCTCAATGCAGTCTCCTCCTACAACTGTGCTTTTATACAGCCCCAGCCCTCACAACACAACAGCTAGCCAATCACAGCAGAGGCACAAACAAAGCAGACGCAAAACCAAGGTAATTTCCAAAGTTTATTAAAGGAAAGAAGTTTGTTGTACCTAGATCAATTACGGATGTATAGTAAACATGTGATGGCGTTTTTGTGGTGTACTGTACTTTTCCTGCACGTTTTGCATGTTTTCATGTGTTCATGTGTGCAATACAAAAAAAAAAAGAAAATAATAAAATAAAATAAAATAAATAATATGATTTCTTCCGTCCGGAAGCCAAAATTTGAAATTGAAAACTGTGAAAAAAAAATTGAAACTGTAGTAGAATTTATAGTGGTTAACTGTAATTTATGTAGCTATAAATGTAAATGTATATTTTTTTATTTTACCCATGTAGTGTGCATTCTTTAGACTTGTTACACAAGCCTGAATATATATTTCCATCCTATTGGTATAAAAATCACTTAAAATATTTCATTTTTATTTTTCAATGCAAATCATTTCATCTGCAAATGTCATGTTTTTCATGTCTGATTGACAACAAACTGACTCTGAACAAACAATAACAGTCTGAACAAAATTTATTTGAACACTTTGACTGACCTCCATGACACCATGCAGCCCCTAAGGTCACAAAAGCAACATTCTCTAAGTTGTCAAGTATTTGTGGTCTCCATGCCCAGATTAATTTGTCCGTACCCCCTAATGCCCTGACGAAAGGAATCTGTGGCAAGAAATAAATATTGCACATTAGGACTGCTACAAATGAAAATAAAGCCCTGCTCAAAGCAACTGAACATTTTGTTCTGTCCAAGTAATAAATCTCAATAAAACCTTAAAGAAATACTTCCTTCATGTCAAGGCCCTTTTGTTATTTTTGAACTGATCAACTAAATCAAGACACAAATCTCTTCAATGGAAAAAAAGTATTTACTACAGTCTAAAAGGAAAAGGCAAAAGGCCAAATTCTGTAATGGTTTGGAGACAGGAACATACTCCTAATCCCCGGCTGTAATGTAATAGCTGTCATTAGCCTGATTTACATATCAGATCATGTCAGGTCTATATTTAACAGAGTGCAAGATCATAAATTATCCTCTCGCAAAGGAAATGCACTTCATGTTGAATTTATGGGAGCATCGAAATCCTGCTAGCAATGATTTCATGAAAGAAAGACTGCAATGTAGTAATATTAGTAACATTTCACAATTACATTTGGAATTAGTTGAACACTGCATATTATAAAACATATCTTTATGAAAAATGTAGAAAGATCACAATAAACTCCACCAGTTTGTATAATTTCATCTCACTCCTCACATACTAACTTCATCCACAAAACATGTCTATAAACATCTCTTTCAATCTGTTGACACATCCATGCAAAGTATTAAACCAATCCTATCAATAGTTCTGGTTAGTCAGATGACTGGAGAGATCTATTTGTTCAGAATTAAAAAAAAAAAAAAAAAACGAAGCAGTAAGTCTAGCAGTTCCAGTTCATTCAACTGCACCAGCTATAGGCCATATAAGGTGCGTATGAATGAACTATGGTTTAATCCAGGCCAAAGTGAGAATGTGATAACTAAGCTCATATGAGGTCATATTCAGGGGAAAAGTCACCTCCACCTTGTATTAGCCCACATTTTTCTTCTTATCATAAGTTACCTGGTCCCAGATGTGAGGCTGTGACTCGAATTGGCTCCATTAAGCTTTATCTAGATATTGGAAACTTCAGAGTTTTTTTGTCGATTACACATTCAGTGCAGACTCCTGCAGATAAATGATTACTAGATTGCTAGATTAATCTGTAAACAGAAACAGAAACAATCTGACCACAAAAATAAGTAAAATACTACTACTACCACTAAATAATAAACTTTATTTATTTGTTTGTTTGTTTGTTTTAACCCTTTATCACTTTAAAATTTTATTTTGGGAAATTGTATTTATAACAATATTGACAATATTAAATAATTATTATAATGATATAAAATAATTCTAATAATAATTCAACAACAAAACAAAACAACAATAATAAAACAATGTAACTGCATGTATATTATTATTATTATTAGTAGTAGTAGTAGTAGTAGTAGTATTAGTAGTATTAGTATTCACACAGTTATATTGTTTATTCAGTTCAAAGCTTATTACCATTAGGTGGAGTTTTGACATCTTCCTCGTATACCTGCCAAAAAATCAGATTGAATTGCTGTTTTTGATTAGCATGTTGGAAAATATCTAATGTTGCATACCTTTGACTGTGTCTTGAGGCTGCATGTGTAGATGTTTAAAATCTGGACATGTGCCTAGTACAGAATGTGCAAGAGCAATACTACAAAATAGGGCAATTTCTGTAAATTGTCATCTGATGGATACGTTTATGCCTCAAAGTGGAAGTACTGGTCGATTACATGCAGACTTTTCTAAGATTGTAGCCCTGACTTCTATTGATTTTGTTCTCTGGCAATTAATTTGTCCAGGTCGGACTAGATTGTCACCTTAATATTCCAGGTTCAATAGAAACTCAATCAACAGTCGTTTTGGCATACAGCAATGCCGATTTAAAAAAAAAAAAAGGTGAATGGTCAAAGGGGAAAACAAGTGAATGGGCCAGTTTTGGGATTAATAAAAAGCAGAAATGTGACGATTATAATTTTTTAAAAAGCACTTATTAATTTGTATGTTAAAATGTGTATATTACTTAAGCTGCCAAATCAGTGTTGTGACAGTCATTTTAGGGTTTATGATGCCTTCTTGTCAAATTGGATATGAATTGGATTTTATACAGAAAAAGTTAGCAAATAATTTTTTTCTCACACTACAATAGAGTCGACGTGCTTTTTTGTGGCTATACATTTGAAACATTGAGTATTTTGATGTTTACAAATTGTCCCTATTCACTTCCATTGTAACAGCCTCATGTAACCTAGACTTTTGTTTTTTTTTCAAGAATTTTTTTTTATCTAATCAAGATACCAATACCAACCAATACTATGCCACAAGTGCTGGCAACTGACCTTAACACGTACTGAACCCAGAAAATTCATTTAAACAGGGAACCACTGAACACTTATTGTGTGCAGTGTTTAAACTCAATTTTAAGTGCTGTAGGTTCAGTTCATAGCAAGTGGTTTGGCCAGGATTCAATCCGTGGCTCATTTCACATGAAGGAACTAGAATCCTTCGAGCTCGATATGTTATACATCACCTCATAACCCTTCTGAGTTTATGCTTTAGTTGATGCAGAACGGGCATATTGATCAAAGAACCAGACTCCAGATGAGAAACAAGCCTGTGGGGTGAGATCACCCTCTTGGCTCCACAGTGTTTAATGTCGCTCTATATCTCAGTCTATCAAATCGTGGGTAAAAAAAAAACAGAATGGTTCACCTCGGAGTAATGTCATATCAGATCAGTTCCAGCTGCTACGTTTACGCAGGAAATTGACTCATGGTGGCCTTAGATTGTCCAGGTCATTTTTCACCATAAAACATACATAAAAAGAGGAAACAGGATTGTGGCTCATCAGGGTCAATGAGGCAAACCACAAAAAAATGTTTTGTTGGTACAGTAACAAAATAAAAGAAGTAGAATTGTTCACTTGCTCCATTTCAAAACATAGTGAACTACCCTTGGATGCTTTAGAGGGTTATGAAGACATCCAGAAATTTAGCCATCTTATTTAAGTCGCAATCGAACATAACTCATTTGAAAAAAATTGCAACATATTGTGCGATAAGATTCCAGAGACAAGCAATTTGTCTGTGCACATGAGACGTGACTCGACTGCAAGACTTGACACAATCAATCAAATACCCCAGCCATTCAGAAGAGTTAGTGGGCGGGCTCTTTCTGCAAACATACTGCACTCACAATGAAATGGATAAGAACATTTGAACATTATTACAAATACATACTTTGTGAGTGAGTGAATCTTTGTCATAGAATAGACTTTGTTGTTCACATAGAGTTCACATTTCAAGCATTCATTTCCATTCATTTCTTTTCAGGATCTGAGGTCTTTTCTTAATTGTAGCTTTCAACATGGCTGTAAAGGTCAGGCAAAAGGATATTCAAAATCACATTGGACCCTTTCAACATGAAATGAAGCATCTAATCAGTACTTGAGATTATCGCTGTCTTAGTTTGTATGCTGTTGTTCCAGTCGTGACATCCCAGAATTAAAAACTGTTTCTGAAATAGAATCCTCTGATGCTTATCACATATCATGGCTGATTAGGCCAAAAACGAATTAACATGGTTTTTTATTTGTGCATTAGGGCTGGTTAGGACAAGCTAGCATCACATGGACAGCATTATGTACTGTAGAAGGCATTGTGATAACAGTGGGAAAAAAAATACATTTAAATTGGCAGATATCATTTTGTGTAGACTGAACAATATAAATAAAACAGCTCTGTAAAATTTCACTTAAACGTGAAATTAGTTTTCGTGTGGAATAATATGCGTTTATCCTTACAATGTCATGTCACTAGCTTAGCAACATGCTAACAACAATGTTTCTGCCTATGTAGAGTGTTCTAGATTGTTACTTCCATGATGATGCCTTAAAGGTGCAGTCCCAATTATCATTGTACATAAATTTTCATGGGCAAAATTGAGTCGTTTCAGTAAGTTGAACATTCCCCCACAGAGATTTTGCAACTTGTAGCGAACGATTTGAAAGTGACTTCTGTGTAAGCTATGCTTCCTAGTTATATTCAATAGACAATGGATCTTTTTGCCCACAAAATTTTGCTAAAATGTTGGTAATGTTACTGCACTTTTAGAAGGCACCTGCCTATGTATGAAGCTATCCTTCTAGCTTTTTAAATAGAGCTTAACAGTGCAACACACTGTGTTCCCGCCTTCACTTGAATCACATCTCCCTTTTTTACACTAGTCCATCAGCACTGCTTTTACGCACTACCTTCAGTACACATTTCTGCTTGAA